CAGGAGTACGAGTGGGTGCGCAAGCACAGGCATTCCCTTACTCTTATAATCCGATCGGATGGTAATCCGACTTCAACGCAAAGAGATCAGGCGCAAGACCTACCGCTTTCACGTGCATACTGAAGCACGGGGGTGAAATACTGCCAACATCCTCATTATCTTAACAAATGTTTGTTTGACACATTGCAATAAATGTTTCTTTCTTTATTTCTATCTCATTCCGGGCAGCTAGTGAAACCGTCTATATTAGTACCCGTAGACTAAGATTCTATGATAATAATAACCAATATGACGTTCGCTAAATCTTATAATTATAAGGTAGATAGTCTTTTAGTTTTATTAATTAATAACTAGTGGTCGTTTAGTGATCAAAATTCGACCGTAATTTATTAAATTTTTAAGTCAAAATGTATCGTTTATAAATTTTAGCTTTCTGCACTCCACCATATAAACATTAAGTAGCCAAATGTTACATCCTTTGTGCAAACAATGTGAACAAGGTATACAAAGTTATCCTAAAGTTATAACATATAAATTGACTTGTTTCTTGGTGAGCTTAACAAATAATCCGTACAAACATACATAAAGTAACGTGTAAACAAGACACAAAAGGAAATAACCATGACTTAAGAATCGAAAAGATTAAAATTCAGCGAAGTAACAACTCTTTGTATTAGGTATTAGATGTGCGGTATTTGAGGTTTAAAATAAAAAAGGCAATATAGCGCGCTTTACGTCATTGAGTTAATCTGACGTGAGGCTCGAGTTAACAAAGCTAGCGTGGTAATCACAGACATTTCGATCGAAATATCCAGAAAGGATAAAAATATATACGTACCATATATGTTGTAAGATTTTTAGCACGTATAAGTGAAATATTTTTTTTTCTAGAATAAGGGTGACAAACGAGTATACAGTCCACCTGATGGTAAGTGGATGTTGTGGCATATAGACATCTACATTTATCCTCGGTTAAGTATCAAAATGCAGACACGTTGTCAACCCTCACCACTAATAAAGAATGCCTCATTTCCAGTAAAAAGGGTCTCCGGACCTCTACATTGACCATATGAAATACAGCAACATTAAGCTGCTATTTTACGCTGGTATTCTGTGAGAGTGTGGTCCTAGCCCTGTCGAGCCGACACATTCGTGCTACAAACATAATATACCTAGCTGCAGCTTGGCTCTACCACACTTTACATATTATATTTATGAAGTACATATTATGACATCATCATTTAAACTTATAAAAATTTCAATACTGAACATAGGCCACCACAATAGAATGTTTCGTGGGGAGGGTATTTGCCATTGTCGTCACACTTTTTTTATTACTTTGTGTTGTTGTCAGGATGCTCCTACCCGTCTCCTATTTCATTTCCCTCTTTATATTTTTTGAAAACGTTACCTCCAGACTAGGATTTTCTCCTGTATCGCGGGGACAGTTTACATACATAGATTTCACAAGGACAAACATCCAGACTCAGAACAATTATTTGTAGGTCATACAAATACTTGTTCCGTGCGGAATTCGAACCCGGGGCCTTTGCGCTGCAACTCATTGCCAAGCCACTGCTCCACGGATCCGTCTCGCCTCTGTCGCCTCTTACGAAACCTACGGGATGATATGAGGTTGTGAATTTTCTTATATTATAAATGTATACGTCAAGATTTCAAAAAACAAAAAGAATTTTCTACCGACTTCAAACAGGAGGATGTACTGAATTCGACTGTATGTTTTTTTTTACATATGTTACCTCATAACTTTTTTCTGGGTGAACCGATTTCGATGATTCTTTTTTTATTTGAAAGCTGATGCTTTACGTGTGGTCACATTGAACATTGTCTGACCAATAGTTTTTGAGTTATTCTTAATAATTTATATTGAAGTCGGTTGTATGAAATGTTTAATTTGTAGTTATGTAACTGATAAATTATTAATTTTCCTTGCGGTAGCGGCTTAAGAGAATCTATCACCTGAATTTCGATTCGACCGAGAAATGGCAGTACAACCTTACCCAAACTTATTCGAACTAAATCTTTATATATAAAAATTACGTGTCACATTGTTTGTCCGCGATGAACTCATAAACTACTGAACTAATTTCAATGAAACTTTGCACACTGTGCAGTTTGGTCGAACTTGAGAGATAGGATAGTTTTTATCCCGATAGGTGAAGCTAAAAATTTTTTATTGCTAATTTCAGGGGGTTTTTTAGGAAAGCAAATGGTCTTCGAAAAGGGCAGAACAACGTCTGCCTGGTCGGCTAGTATAACTATAAAATATAAATCAGTGATGGAGTGCAGCATCAAGGAGACGGAGACATCTGATACTGAAGGACTAGAAAGAAGTAGAAGTAACGGAGCCATAAAATAGCAACAAATCTTGTATAATAATGATATTTTTGTATAATCATACGAATATAACGTACCTATAACTCGCATTAAGTATTCCATGCAAGACAGCCTCAGGAAAAACCGGACAGATGATATCATGATCAAAGACAGGTCTAGGGGCCGCCTAATGTTGACTCGTTACATTTATCTAAGTTTTAGACTATCTGGCTAATTGGGTTTAAATATGGAATAAAGTTGTTGAGATAAAACACCACACACATCCAAACCACACTTTTCTCTTATCAGCATATCACACAATTTGCTATAATTGAAATTAATACATCAAATATAATTAGTTTATATTAACTTCGTTCGATAAGTTCCCTATTTTATTTATTTAATTCAGATTGACCTGATCATCAAGGTATTTCGACTTGAGCGAATGCTTTCAATTAGCCAATAGAGCCTTCAATTAACACTTAAAATTGTTTTGTTTCTTCGTCCTTTCGCTTGTTTTGTTTCTCATATTTATTTATTCTTTAATATTTTCAATACCTAACAAGTGATAACAAAATTAAACATAGAAATAATTTTTACTTTTAAAATTATTTATCAATAAACGAGACTTATTTATAAGTGTTATAACAAAGAAAACTGGAGCATCACTAAGTGTTTAACCAAATACAATACAATAATTTTAAGTGAGAGATAAATAAGCTTTTCAAATCGTGAATAAAACATGTTTGCTTTATAATGCTTTTTCTAAACCAGAATTTTTACTATATTTATTATTATTCTAATTTTAAAACATTACCAAATAAAAAAAAAAGAAACAATGGAATTTTTAGGATTTGATTGATGCAAAAAAGAGCCAAATCGAAAAGCACTTGGCGTAAACTCAAGTCTTCGTTACATACTTGAAGAGCACTCGGCGTAAACTCAAGTCGTCGTTACATACTTGAATAGCTCTTGAACTAATTTAGCTTTAACTAAAAAAGGCTTACGTGCTCTGAATCCATACACACAGAAATGTATGTACTATAGAAATACGAACGACTAAATACCTTCTTTATAGTGACCTTAAATAGAAATTACATAATTTTTTTTGTTCGACGTTACTAGATATTATGGCATTTATTCAGCCTAAGATCATGTCTGGCTTGGTACTACCTATATATTTCTACCACCAAACACCAGTGCGATTAAAGCTATGTTCTATTTTGAAGGGCAAGATACAATTACAGTAGTTGAGCATTTAACAGAACATCTTAGTGCTCTGGCATTACAACGCATTTGTTGCTATTTATTTATTTATTTATTTATTTATTTAATTCATAAACTTGTGGCTTACAGAAAATCCAACACGCGCACAAGGTTAAATTTTACATGCAAAAAATTTTTTCAGAAATAGTATCCATCCATTACAACAAAAATTAATAATCATAAATTAATTAATTATAAAATAATAGTAATATAAAATCTCGAAGCTTTTGGCAGCCCGTGTCAGAAATTAAAATGGTAATAAAGCCAATTAAAACCATAAAGTATTAATAATTAAACATTTTGTCATATCAATTTATAATGCAATGTCAATAAAAACTAATAACAATCTTAATATGCCCATAATTAAAATTACATCTTAAATATAAAGTATAAATAGTACATAGTCAACGAAATTAAATTGTCCAATTATTAATTGTCATATCATCAATGATTTTATAAAAAAGAGTCAGCAGACGTGTTATACTGTCTGCAAATAGGTCAATTTCATCGTGCTGAGTGAGTATGTCCCCTATAAGTATTAATGCACGATTTGTTGGTGCAAAAGCAGCACGTTTGGTACGCGTAACTGGTCTATCTAGAAGACGCGCCCTACGGCGCGGAGCCACCGTTCCTCCATTACCTCTATGCAGGTACCTGGGCACCAACAAACCGATTCTCTCCATAACCGACTGGCAATCCAACTTGTGGTGAATTATAGAAAGATAGTGCCTAATAGTTGACATCACCCTCCTAAACATTAGGGTTTCAAAATCAACCATACCCAAGACGAATAAAGAAGGATACAAATAAGGGTAGTACCCATGAATTTTCTTATAAAGCCAACGAGCAAATTTACGTTGTATCCTCTCTAACAAGAGAGTATACTTTTTCTCGTAAGGATTCCAGACCACAGATGCATACTCTAGCTTACTACGAACATACGCATTGTACAAAGTTTTAGCCACCCTTATATCATCAAAGTCAGCTGCAGTCCTCATCACAAAACCCAAAGTCTTACTAGCTAACTTGCATATGGATGTCATATGATTGTGAAAACTCAATTTACTATCTAATATTAAACCTAAGTCACGTATGTCATATACTCTTACCAAAGGCGCGTCGTATAAGTTATAATTAATAATAACAGGATTCTGTTTTAATGCAAAAGTGATAACCTTGCATTTAGTCACATTAAGAGGAAGATGGTTCAGTTGACTCCATTTCGATACCGCATCTATGTCTCGTTGAAGAGCCTGTGCATCAGCAACACTACCAATCGCCAAACTTAATTTTAGATCATCTGCGAATAACAAACACTTCGCAAATTTTACTTTGGTAGGCAAGTCATTTATAAAAATTAAAAACAGCGTAGGGCCAAGAGTACTACCCTGACTCACCCCAGATCTAGTGAAATAATCAGCGGATTCGAAACCACTCACTCTAACAAATTGACGACGATTATCCAAATAGCTAGCAAAGAGTTGAAGAAGTTTCGGAGTAAAGCCCAACTTAGCTAGCTTATGTAACAGTATGTCATTACTCACCAGGTCAAAAGCCTTCCTAAAATCGAAATAGGCGGCGTCTACCTGTCTCCTAGAATCCATCTCAGCACAGACATAGTCTACGTGCGCTATCAAGTTAGTAGTCGTTGCACGATTCTTTCGAAACCCATGTTGACTTTCATGCAAAATGTTATCTACCTGATTCCTAATGCGAAAGTCCAACATGGTTTCAAATATCTTCGCCAGAACCGAAAGCACCGCAATAGGTCTAAAAGCAGAAACATCTTTTCCAGGTTCTCCCTTTGGAACAGGTGTCACCCTAGATAGTTTCCATTGTTCTGGATATGTAGCCTGTCTAAGAGACAGATTAAAAATAAACAAGAGCGGTGAACGAAGAGCTGGCGCACAATCCTTGACCAGAAAAGCGGGAATGCGATCAGGGCCACCAGCAGATCGTGGTTTTAGGCGTCTTATTGCCAATCTAAAATCAGTTTCGTCTACTTGCCTGACTGAGATGGGCATCACGTTATTTTGTGAGTTAGCCGCATTTTCGGCATCTACATAATTTAATAGGGGCTTTTCATTATGGAATACTGAGCCAAAATATTCAGCAAAGGCATTAGCCGCATCTTGACCTGTTACTTCTGCACCTTTATAACTAAACGTTTCAGTATGTCGTCTTTCTTTCTTTTTATCACTAACATATTTCCAAAAAAATACCGGATCGTCAATTATGCTTTTCTGTATCAACTTAAGGTGCTGCTCATATGCGTTGTCAATTAAGGTTTTAACCCTCCATCGATAAAAGCTAAACAGTTCTTTATTAAATAATTTGCCTTCTTGCTTAAATCTCTTAAGATGAAAATATTTTTTTTTTAATATTTTCTATGATCTCAGGCGTGAACCACTTCGGATAGACATACTGACGATGATTTGGAGAAAGCTTTTTATTTGGTACATATAAATTAATAATTTCCTTCAATTTGTTGTAAAAAAAATTTACGGCCGAATTTACGTCTGTAAAAGTCATTAACTCGGACCAATCTAATTTAGCTAACGCAGTATATAGAGCTTGAAAGTCTGCCTTACGCCAATTCCAATCGGGGATCGCATGCGAACTCTCATCAGGCGAAGACCGCAGCCCAGGCAAGAACTCCCCATATGAGAGATTGATTTTGATGTCCAACGAAGGGTGATACTCATCTATTGGCACGAGTGGATCCAATCCAGGAAACACCTTCAGTTGGTTACGGTCATAGTCACTCAACACGAGATCTAACAAGCCACTGCGAGTATTAAGTACCGTATTATGTTGCTGTAGATTACAGAAGTCACAAAAAATATTAAATTGAGTTTTAACATTAGTGCTGCAAGAATTAAGATTAAAATCACCTAATACTAATACATTCAAATTTGAATAAGTACACAAAGCATTTTCTATGCAGGTCAGAACATCAATATACTGATCGTCGCAATAATTTGGTGGTAGGTACACCACACAACATAAAAACTTTACATTTTTGCAGCTCACAAGTGCGAATATTAGTTCCTTATCAGGTGTCATACCGTCAATATCCGAAATCACCCGAACCTCACAGCTATCACGCACAGCCAACAATACTCCTCCCCAACCAACGTCACCTAACCTATCTTTTCGAACCACAATATAGCTTGAGGGAAATAGTTCACCATCGGACACAGAGCTAGTCAAAAACGTCTCTGTCAAGGCAATAATGTCAAGATTAGCTTGAGTCACATTATTATAAAAAGTCCTTATTTTAGAGCGCAATCCACGAACATTTTGATAACACAGAGTCATTTTTATTAACCGTTGACGCCTATTGCTGCGTATTATTTTCTTTGGTACGAAAGTTCTGGCGCCAAGGTTTAATACAAATATCCTCTGCCCAATGCGCCGGTGACATGATACTTTCAGCTTGCTTGGCCGGAACTCCTAGCTTAAATGACGAGTATCGCCCACGTGATTTCAACGCTTCCACGGTGCAAACATCATTTCCACATATAGAAGTAAGATGAGCCTGCACCTGTTCGACAGTTGTACCCTCCTGTACATAATACAAGTGCAAGTACCTCCACCTCTCTGCAGCGCGCAAAGATGTAGCACCTGGCGCCGCAGTACCTCGAAGCACTCCAGGTAACGAAGCTCTCAATTTTTTAGCCTTTTTCACTTCCACCCATTCCCCTGCCTGCTCCACATTTAAGGCAGTGTTATTCACGGAGGCATTATTTGATCGATCTACCACCGAGCTCAGAGGAGTGATAACTGACCCATTGGAGGCCATAAAATCTTGCTTGGCATTATTCCACTTCTTTTTATTTTGTTGGCCTTTTGGGGTATTGGTGGGAGCTAACGGAGGGACGGTGGGTAATGATGCAGTTGTACTAGTTTCCTCGCCGCTGTTTTTAGATTGAGATGATTTAGTCATCATTTCAATTTTATTCTCTAATTCAGTAATTCTGCCTGTTAACCTAGTCATCATATTAAAAAGTTCGGTTTTGAACGTGATAAATTGTTCATTAATCAAATTACTAATTTTAGTAGTCAAATTTTTTTCAAAACTCTCCTGCATTTCTTTTAATTCATGCACAACAGAAACCCGGATTTTCTCCAACAAACTACTAGAGTACTCGTTTTGTCTGGAAGTTTGTGGTGCATAGCGAGCCCCAGTACGAATAGTTACATTGTCCGGGCTATTAAAAGATATATCGGGGCAATCACTAGCAATACTCATATCATGCGTTAATTGTTGACGAATTGGTGTGTGTGAGTTATCACCTTTAGGTACTTTACAACGGCATTCAATGCAAATCCAAGAGGTTTTCAAATCAGAAGAGAGCGTAGCGTACATCTGTGTAGTTAAATTTGCACATAACAAGTCAAAAGTTTGTTTGAAGTTGGTTGCCTGAAGCCACAGGCTGGACTAAGTAAAATTTTTATTTTCAATTTTCTCTTCTATTTATTGAGTAAATAAGACAGTCAGGATTTGATGTATCCATGAAAAATACAAACAGGGATAAATTTGAAAAGGGACCTCTTCGACATTTCTAGCAGTTTTGTTTTTTTAGTAGTTAACATTTCTACAATATTTATTTATATTTATACAGTTAATCCAATTTTTTATGTAACAGCATATGATATATATAATATCCATTTATTAGGACGTCTTATCAAACCTGACGAATGAACTCCATATCTTTGATCACCAGAGTAAATTTTCAGCAGTAGTAATCGGCGGAAAATATTTAAAGGAATTTAAACCAAATTTAGACTAAATTTCAGCCTACTCAATTAGGCTTTGGCACTAGAGGTGGCTGTGAAGCGGCGGTACATTCAGTGCGTACATTTTTAACAAACTCTGATGCAGATGTTCTTGTGAAGGTTGACCTAAGGAATGTTTTTAACTCTATCGATAGCGTAACCTTGCTGAAAGAAGTGGCTAACAATACCTCCGAAATTTATCATTACGTTTGGCAATGTTATAGTCAAAATACTAACTTGTTATACGAAATCCATGTTATCGATTCTGCTGTCGGTGTTCAGCAGGGTGACCCACTGGGTCCAGCACTTTTCAGTTTCGGAATTCAACCCATTATTTCAAATTTGAAATCCAAGCTGAATGTCTGGTACCTGGACGACGGTACACTGGGAGGTAGAGCAGATGACGTCCTCAGTGATCTTACTCATATTTTTCGAAATTATAAAAATATTGGTCTTGAACCAAATAGCAATAAATGTGAAATATTTTGTTTTCAATAATTTATCTACTTCTCATAGAGACAGTTTAATTCAAAATTTCAATCATGTTTATCCAGGAATAAAAACTGTCAGTACGGAATCACTATACCTGCTAGGTGCCCCGTTGTTTTTCGATAGTATTAAACCTGTTTTAAAAACAAAATTTGATCAGTTTTTAAACCACGTTGATAAATTGTATAAATTAATCCCCCACATAGCTCTTACTATTTTAAAATATTGTCTCCTTGTACCTAGATTTACATACTTACTTCGCTCGAGTCCAGTCTGGAAATGTTCGGATATTTTAAAAGATATTGGTAATAATCTTAAAATAGCTATAGAAAAAATTCTAAATTTAACTTTAAATACAACAGCCTGGACTCAAACTACTTTACCTATAAAATTTGGTAGCATTGGTGTGAGAAATCTTTCTAGCATTGCATTGCCTGCTTTTCCTTGCTTCAGTGCATAGTGTCAATGATTTATGTAACATAATTTTAAATAATAATGTAGACCTATGCTTTGCTACTGAGGCAGGGTAGACATGGCAAACGCTCTGTCCCGGTGAAAATGTTCCACTGGAAGTTAACCAACAAAAACAGTGGGATATTCCGTTGGTACGGGGCGTCCAGAAAGATTTGTTTCATAATTTCCATAGTGACCAAGATAAGACACGCCTTCTAGCTGTTTCGACTAAGGAATCTAGTCACTGGTTACACACTTTACCATCAAGTAATCTCGGCACATTACTTGATGGGGAAAGCTTGCGTATTGCCGTAGGAATCCGACTAGGAGCGGCGCTTTGTCAACCCCATAAGTGCCAATGTGGTAGCAGCGTCGACAAGTTTGTGCTCCACGGACTTTCATGTAAGAAAAGCGCTGGTAGGTTTTCATGACACAGTTCTTTGAACGATGTCATCCGAAGGGCTCTTGTCTCTATAAATGTGCCCTCGGTTTTAGAGCCTTGTGGAATATTTAGAGACTATGGCAGGAGACCCGACGGTATGACATTTGTCCTTTGGGAGAGAGGTAAAGCCCTAGTGTGGGATGCTACTTGCGTAGACACTCTGGCGGCCTCTCATCTCAGGGGTACCTCGTTTAGAGCCGGGGCGGCATCAGAGGCAGCTGAACTGAGTAAGTGGCGCAAGTATGAGTCTCTGGGAGATGACTACATATTTGTGCCATTTGCTGTAGAGACTATCGGTCCGTGGGGTCCACGTGCGGTGGAGTTCTTATAGGAACTCCGTCCGCGGCTGGTCGTTGCTGCTGGTGATAAGAGGGCTGGTTCTTTTCTCGCTCAAAGGCTTAGTATAGCCATTCAGCAGTGAAACGCAGCGAGCGTTCTTGGCACGATACCGCGGGGAGTAGGACTATATGATAATTATGTTTCTATTTTTTTTTTATTATTATAGTATTTAAATTAATGTTTTCTAGTAAAAAATATTGAAGATAAAAATGTATTTCTATAAACCACATTCTAAAACCGTGGTCATTTAGTTAAAATAAAAAAGATCCTTAAGTATAGATATAACAACTCTAACTTAAACCCATTCAAGTAAAATGTTAAAATGCGCTCCAAACAGCAACCAGTTAGTATCGTTTGCTTTGAACGCCAATTGTTGACACAAGGAGTAGGACTCGATTAGTTCGTTAACAACACAGACCAAATAACGGATATCTCACAAAAAGATACACTACAAATTGATTAGCATTTATATCGAACCATATCGAACGTTACGAAACAATAGAAGCAAAAATAATGTAAGATTGCCTAAAGTAGAATTGTGTGATTTTAATATTATTTTTATTACAAGTTACTAAAGTTAGTTACAGCCTATTATACGTCCCACTGCTGGGCATAGGTTTCCCCTCATTTCTGAGAGGGTTTTAAAGCAAGAAAATATCCGCTGCACCGCCCGAATGCGTGTTGGCAAACGTAACATGTCTTAGAAATATTTTTTCTTATTTCTCAGGTTTCCTTCACCACCGAGCACGTGGTAAATCAGCACTGAAAATTGCAATTAACAATTTCATTGGTGCCGGCGGATGTAAATTAGTT